CTGATAGATTAGCTTTATTATGGGAATGTCTGCATAGAAGTGTGATATTGACTTGAGATAGATGTCATACATGAAGATAGAGGCAGTTTCATATGTAGAGCAGTGTTTTAGAGAATATCCTGAATTTATTTTATTTTTTAGGTTGGGTCCAATACTATACTGGGAAGCTTAGTGTAAAAAGGTTGGACATAAACAATTGGGCGACAGTAGCTCAGTTGGTAGAGCATTGGCCTTTTACTTATTCCCCATTCCAACTCCATGTATTTCAAAGTCTTTATAGAGGAAAGAAGGTATTACATATACAATCAAATAATACCTCATAATACAGTGCCTTGCGAAAGTATTCGGCCCCCTTCAACCTTTCAACATTTCGCCACATTTCAGGCTTCAAACATAAAGATATAAAATTTTAATTTTATACAAGTGGGACACAATCGTGAAGTGGAACGAAATTTATTGGATAATTTAAACTTTTTTAACAAATAAAAAACTGAAAAGTGGGGCGTGCAATATTATTCGGCCCCTTTACTTTCAGTGCAGCAAACTCACTCCAGAAGTTCAGTGAGGATCTTTGAATGATCCAATGTTGTCCTAAATGACTGATGATGATAAATAGAATGTAATCAAGTCTGTAGTTATCTGCAGTTCATCCAGAGTGATCATGGGCCTCTTGGCTGCATCTCTGATCAGTCTTCTCCTTGTTTGAGATGAAAGTTTGGAGGGACGGCCAGGTCTTAGTAGATTTGCAGTGGTCTGATACTCCTTCCATTTCAATATAATTGCTTGCACAGTGCTCCTTGAGATGTTTAAAGCTTGGGAAATCTTTTTGTATCCAAATCCGGCTTTAAACTTCTCCACAACAGTATCTCGGACCTGCCTGGTGTGTTCCTTTGTCTTCATGGTTCTCTCTGCGCTTTAAACAGAACCCTGAGACTATCAAAGAGCAGGTGCATTTATACGGAGACTTGATTACACACAGGTGCATTCTATTTATCATCATCAGTCATTTAGGACAACATTGGATCATTCAAAGATCCTCACTGAACTTCTGGAGTGAGTTTGCTGCACTGAAAGTAAAGGGGCCGAATAATATTGCACGCCCCACTTTTCAGTTTTTTATTTGTTAAAAAAGTTTAAATTATCCAATAAATTTCGTTCCACTTCACGATTGTGTCCCACTTGTTGTTGATTCATGACAAAAAATTAAAATTTGATATCTTTATGTTTGGGGGCCGAATACTTTCGCAAGTCACTGTATGTCCATACTGCCATTTTACTTGACAATTGAAGTTGTGGATCACAGGATCATAAGACTAGAAGCTCATACAGCATGTCAGGTAATTGAGCAGCACTAGCTTTACATTTTTGACTCAAAAATTACTCCTAGTCTGTTTTTCTTACATTAGCAGACATGTGGATATTTCACAACTGACATACTCATCCACAGGTGGATAGTCTCATTGTCCACTGTGGATCAGACCGTTTTGTCGCCATCTCCCTGTTGATCTGCCCTTTTCACCCCAAAGTTCACCCAAGATCACGACAACTCCACCTCCTTGTGTCACCCACTCTGTTTACGACCGCTTGCTGTCAACATTAATCAGGCTGCAGGACGTGACCGTTTGGCACATTCACTTGCACACACACGCAGAAACTGCTGATGGATCTGTAGATGAAGTTGCCTTGGAAACAGCCCATCCTTTTTGTCCTTTTGTTCTGGACATCTATGCACTGATATACATGAGACGAATCTATAGGCTTTAAGCAGAGTGCCAGCATTACCCGCAATACACAAAACAAAGGCGTGTATTGTAGTTGCCAAGCAGGAGCTGTGATCATTAGAGTCCTCATTCTTATGTTACACGGTTGGCTTGCAGCTTGTCATTATACATATTCTTGTTTACATTTTCTCATAGACCCTTTTGGTGTTAGTAAAGAACTGCAGTAGTTAAGTCTGCCATGCAATTGTGTTTGAAATGGAAGAGCTAGCACTAAACATATGTAGGACTATCAAATTAAATCTGTTAAACTGGCTGCTCTATGTAACGTAATTACTAGTCTATAATTACCAAGAGAACCAATGTGAAAGTTACTGATATTAAGGAAGGGGAGTCAATATTGCCACACAATTACTGAAGAGAAATGGTGGAATTGAGGAGAGGAGGAGATGAGAAAGTATCTTTGGGACGCAACTCCTGCTAGTCGGTCTTGCCGGCTGGTCCCACCTGCTCTCGCTCTCTGTGGTCTCCGGAGAAGGCTGTGCCATGTATGAGAAAAGACAAAAGTTTTAAAACGATTGATGATGCCTCACTGTTTATTTTGCTCTTTCACTCACACGACTCATGTGAGAGCAATGAGAGCTGCCACACAATGCTCATAGCATTGTGTGTCCCTCGCTGATCCTCCTGCAGGTGATGGGTCCACAGGAAGACGGCTACTCCGTCAACAGTGACACAGTCTTGGTCTTTTAGCAGGGGCTTCAGGCAACGTGAGGTTAGGTGTATTGCCCGAGGACACAACAACAGCAGAGGTGAGTGCGAGCAGTTGGAGTAGGTCTCGTGTGGCTCTACCAACTGAGCCACTGTCTCCAGTACTATAATGATTGACCAAAAGCCAGTCTAAACAGTGTTGTTTTTAAGATATCCTCACACCAACAAACAGTCATAACTTCACTTTTTTACCAAAACAAATCTAATTGTTCTGGGAGGTTATCCAAAGCCAGTGCGTGTGTTGAGTTTTCTATGTATGATCGGTGGCATTTAAACTCCATTCAGTGTTTGTGTGAAGAAGCTTTGATCCTCCTGACTAATTAATTTAGAGCAAAATTGCCTTTTATGTGTTTGGTTCAAGGAAATGTTCACAGTGTGAAACTACATAATGGGTTGTAACTATTTTCTTATGACACATTAATTGGCACTTAATGTGTTATTGTTGTGTTTTCCACACAATGCATATGCATGAATTGTTTGTAGCACAGCTTGTTTGTAAATTACAAGGGAAAACATCTATTACGCTAACACGATCACTGCTTTTATTTTACTTTTTTCTAAACCTGTGTTGCTCAAATTATTTGACAGCATTGTGCTAGCATTTTTGGGAAAAATGTTGCCAACTCCTTTGCCTAGAAAAAAAGTGGAGTTATGTTTAATTAGAAATACAATGGACATGATTTTCCAGCAGATTATCCAATCAGAGAGCAGAATATGTCTCTCATTTTGATTGCCATTTTGATTATTTTTTTTATATTTATCAAATTTCACAAACAAGTGAAACTAGAACTACACATTTGTTTTAAATGAAGCAAATCCCAAAAAAAGTTAATAATTTGTTATACAGTGTACACCAGTTCTAGCTAAACCCAAGAAGATGGATTGCATCTGTAATCAGATTGTGGCAAAAAAAAAGGTGATTTGTAATTAGACTTAGACCTGGAGAGTGCTCGTTACTGCATGTTAGTACAATCGTACTAATATATAAAAATCTTCTCATTTTTTCTCTTAAACGTAGCATTATATATTTATAATGAAGGACAATGGCATATTTTCATTGAATTCAATATATTCTGCACCTGGCAGAGGAGTCATTTTGAGCTGTCACAATATTTTCTTAGTAAAGACAGTCTTGACAGAATCTTATTTTTCAAATCACATTTCTGCCTCTTGTTGAGCTATGCTGAAATATGAACTGAAAAAAAAAACAACAACAAACATTTGACTGATAATTTCACTCGGAGTCCAGCTGTCTTTTAGTGTCTCCAATGAGCCGAGGAGGAGGCGATGCAAATGATGAATGGAGACTATTGCATTTTTGCTTTTGCACAGTCTTTGGTCAAATTTAGTTGTTATAAACTAACTTTATGAACATGATTGATGGGAGAATATAATGAGAAAAAATTATCAACAGTTTATGATTATGAAGTTTGGATTTTTTTCACTAAAACACACCATTTGTCCACACACAGAAGAATGTCTTTTAAACGTCTTTGAGGATTAGTCATATATAGTATACAGTACAGACCAAAAGTTTGGACACACCCACCCATCTCCAGAGTTTTTTTATCTCTATGACTATCAAAATTCACACTGAAGGCCTCAAAACTATGAATTAACTCATGTGGAATTATATATGTACAAAAAAAAAAGTATGAAACAACTGAAAATATGTCTTATATTCTGGGTTCTTCAAAGTAGGACCTTTTGCTCTGATTACTGCTTTGCACACACTCTTGATGAGCTTCAAGAGGTAGTGACCTGAAATGGTCTTCCAACAGTCTTGAAGGAGTTCCCAGAGATGCTCAGCACTTTTGGGCCCTTTCGCCTTCACTCTGTGGTCCAGCTCACCCCAAAACCATCTTGATTGGGTTCAGGTCCGGTGACTGTGGAGGCCAGGTCATCTGGTCCAGAACCCATCACCTTATTGGTCAAATAGCCCTTACACAGCCTGGGTGTGAATCTACAGTCAATAGTCATGAAAAGAAAGGACACTTATTGAAAAAAAAGTGTGTCCAAACTTTTGGTCTGTACTGTACATTCAACCACTTTCTTTTGTTTGGACTAGTAATGTCTTTTCGGCCTCGTTGAATGTATTATTGATTATAATTTATGTATTCATTTATACACATGTATGATGGATAAAGAATGGATTTCAGTAATGAAATGTCTATCTGGTGGTAAAAAGTATGGGATTGCAGTCTAATTTTGTCATTATCAAAAACTGTACGCTGTCCTTGAAGGTGCAGAGTTGTTAGGAATGTTAGGACTGGGAACATTTGTTAGGACTGGGAACATTTCAAAAACTGTTGAGGCAATAGTTTTAAAATGTAGAAAATAGCTTTATTCATAATATAATATCTAAGCTTTTGAGATGAGATCGAGGACAACGAGGGGTGGAGCTAAAATCAATGTTATGAAATTTTATCCAGCTTTTATCTAATGAATCTAGCTTAGTTGTGTGCGCCGCATTCTGACTCTGATTTTGTGTTTTCCTCGTCTATTTTACAGCATCTGTCGGAGCTGTTGGCCGTAGTGCGCCTCCCGTTCATCCATCCCTCTTACCTGCTCAACGTGGTGGACAACGAGGAGCTGATCAAGTCCTCTGAAGCCTGCAGAGACCTGGTGAATGAAGCTAAGCGCTACCACATGCTGCCTCACGCCCGACAAGACATGCAGACGCCGCGCTCCAAGCCTCGGCTATCAGCTGGTATGTACACTGTTACTGTAACTATTTCATTTTGTTTCTCGTTTATCAAGCACTTTTTGTTAAAGGCGCTATACCCATTTCTGCAATGTTTGAATGTTTAGCACCACCCCCCAACTCGCTCAATGGCTTCTCATTTCCGCTACACTCTCATCCCACGGAGCCACCTAGTTTTATTTGCGATCTGATACATATGCTAACATTAGCATTAGCGCAACTTCTTGTAAGCTGTACAACAATCACTGATGAAATGGCACTAAAGCAACGCACTGCTAACACAATAAATCAGTAAAAGAATACCGCTAGTTTCGCGTCCGAATGTATCAGTTTAAAAAATTAGAATATATTCTAATATTTAATTATAATTTGTTATAGAGCTCCTCAAAGCAGCAGCACTCCATTCACTTGAATGCAATTCTTCCGATATTTTTTTCTTGATAACAGAACTCTCAAACCAATAATGACCGAAGCCCCAATGCAATCTCTGTTTGTAATTCAGGTGTGTAAAATACTGCCATTACTCTGCAAGTACACAATCTATCAGCGCTTGTCACTACACACTTGTCTGTGTAGAGAAGCTAGCGGAGCTAGCCACGCTCAATAAACAACTAAATATCAATCAATCAACACCATTAAACGTCAATCAGACAATACAGTATACATATACATCCTTAACACACATGCACGGACGATGTCAGAATTTGCTGTTAACGTTTTCATGACAAAAATACTGTTTTAATGTGACAAAAAGCGATTGCGAAAAACCCGAAAGTTACCATGAAACAACTAGCTAGCTTAGCTGTTACCTGCCTAGCACGTCCCGGTGAAACCTTTGGGAGCTAACTATTTTATTTGCAGTCATTAAATACATTTCGAATTATAAGGGTTGTCTAATATTTGTTAAAATATGTATATATTTTTTATTTTAGAATTATATTTGAATTTTGAAGTCGAAGCCCTAGTGTTAAGCAGCGCTGTAGAGGCTAGAGGACGCAGGCTGTTCGCTGCTCGTTCTGTGAGTGGAGGAGAACGAGCTCAGACTCTACTCAGCACTTTTCACTGCTTGTAATTCTTACACAGCTGAATCAATTACCTCAAGTTTTCAATTAAATTATGTATTATGATACAAGGCAAGGCAAGGCAAGTTTATTTATATAGCACAATTCATACACAAGGCAATTCAAAGTGCTGAACAAAACAAGAAAGCATTAAAATCATAAATTATCACAGAACATTAAAACAACTTGTATGTAGTAAAAAGCATTTTTATGAACTACTTAGAAAAAAAATCGGGTATAGCTTCTTTAAAGCATGGTGATCCAGTGTTGATTTGGATATACGGTTTTTGCATGATCCGATAAAGTCTTATTTTTCAATGTTAAGGTCATCAAAGTATTTGTTAAGGTCTTACATTTGATCAAAACTGTAATTTTTCTATAGAATATAGGGTTAATCGCTGCTCAGTGTGTTATGGCAGCTTAATAGTTCAATTCATGTGACATCACAGGGCAGCTGAAAAATCATTCCTGGAAACTATGGCTGTCTGACTGTCAAAAGTCAGAATTTAGTCTTACTTTAGAGCTTTTCTCTCCTAGCTAGTTTTCTTAATTTTTTTTTACTATAAATTAAATGCATCTGTCCCAAATGCCTTGGTGTACAGGCTAGTTTGGCAATATCTCAACGATGTCATATTCTGGTAAACCAAACAAACCTACCCAACTATAAAAAGAAACGTTATCATAACGTAACATAACATTATCATAACATTATCAACAAAAAAAAGAAACATTATCATAATCCAATATTAACCATAATCTGAAAATCTAGTTCCTTATCCACTCGAACAATCGATTGATTCCTTTCCTTTTCTCCCCCCCACACCTCGACACACACACTTCATATTTCATAGTTGTTGAGGGGGCGCTGTTACCCCCAGCGTTGATTTACCGACATACAGTATTGTGTGACGCTGCTCTCCGCTCATAATTAAACTTACGTGTGGGTAATAGGTCACATCTGGAAATGTCACCGCGCTGTTTCCGGCCAGAGCGCTGGATTATGACAAATGGAGTCTTGGAGAGGAGCTTGATTGAGGTTAAAAGAGTTTGTCGATAATGGCTTTTCACTGTCGCCGTTGCACTGGACCAGGTTTCCTACATGACAAGCTCTCATGAATCCTGTTTAAAGTTTATTATGTTGTAACTGTACAGTAACTATCTGAAATATCAAGCAGAGAGAGTGCCTCTGACGGATGCAATAACAAATTCCAAGCATACATCTTTTCTAGAATATTTCTTCTTTTTTTTTATTTGTTTATATATTTCAAACATGCACAAGATATGCAAACAATTATTCACGGAAAAAATGATAATAGGAGTAAACAAGAAAACCTAATCGCCTGAAGTGGGACAAAAACCGGATTTTTAAGGAAGCTCTTCGGCGTCTCTACTTTCTGCGAAAACGTAGAGAACCAACCACTAACTCTAAGATTCTGCTTAACTTTTAACGCTGCACCATTGAAAGTTTGCCTGTCGGTTCTTTGACTGTGTGGTTTGGTGACATCACAGACAAAGAAAGGAGAGCTCTATACAAAGTGCTCCGCTCTGCAAAGAGGACTGTGAGCTGCCTGTCCCGGAGGTTCTTTATAAATCCAGAGTTTTTAAACCAAACTCTTAGAATAATCTATGACTCTTCTGGCCACCCTGGAAAAGCGATGTTCTAGCTTCTTCCGTCTGGCAGAAGATATCGATTGTTGAAATGCAGGACATCTCGTTTCGCTAACAGCTTCTTTCCACAAGCTGTTATCATTTTAAACAAAGCTCTTTAAATGATCTTCCCTTTGTATTGAAACTGATTTAGTTGATCGATTTCACAGTGTCAATTGTTTCCTTCTCTTCGTTTGAATCTTATTGAATTTATTTTAATATTATTTTTTGACAGACCATTTAAAGGCAGATTTATTTTTGGAAACTTTGATTCTATAAATACGTATTTAGTACTCTCAATATATTGGTCAATATCTAGTGTAATCATCAAAAGCATTTACAAACTTTAGAAATTATAATGTTTTCTATGTTTTGTTAATGAAGAGAACTCTGGACTAATGGAATTGCTCTTGGTTCTAGCCAGGAATCAAGCTGCAGCATGTTGAATATACTGCAGCTCTTGTACTAAAAATATATATACATTAAAATTATCTAAATTTGAAAAAGCAGACTTAAAAAAGTTAACAGTATTTGTATTTGGCAAATGTATATTTACCAACTTCCGTGGTGCATGGATACACAAAGTCAATGGAATGTCAAAGCGGCGTAAATCATCTTCAAGTATATGTCTGAAGTAAAGTGACAAAAACATTGAAAAGTTGCATGAAAATATGTAAATGTTATACTTGCATCTTCAAACCTTTCTCCACATCCCAGCAGCCATGCACTCCTCCTCCCCAACATACACTTTATGGAACACTTAAAACATACTTTTTTGTGGAAGATAAACTCTACAGAGCACTCTGGCAGCCGCAGCGATGTCGCCCTGATTGAAGGCGCTGTTTGTTTACATCATTAAAATCAAAGAATCATTCATGGAAATAGAAGCCGCCACACAATTGCTTCTGGCATTTAGGTTTTTCCCCTTGAGGTCAGCCGGGACCCCAGGCTTTCCCGGCTAAAGATGTACCTAATTACACTGTCTGCATGATATTATGAGCCACGCGTCGCCACACCTTTCCATTCAGCACAAGTTATTTTCTGCTTGGAAGAATAAAGATAATTGCCTAACAAATGGCACTTTATGGAGGATTTACCAGCCAGCGCTTCTGTCCAGGCTGAGCGTGAGTTTATATGCCAGTAAACAAACATTGGGGGGGATTGCATTAGCGTTATGGTTTTGCTCATTTAGTTGATGCAATCACACAAGGTATTATATTGCATTTAGATATATTTTTGTGCAGTTAAGTAAAATGTACAAAACTTGATACTACTAGTGCTACTCCTTCAGTTTATAATGCCTTGCAGAAGTATTTCTTCAGCTTGAACTGTATTTCCTTTGTTTCATGGTACAACCACAAACATATTTTAGCTTTGACATTTTACTGAAAGGCCACAACTTTGAAGTAAAAGCAAAATTATACATTATTTTGTTAATTAAAAACTACTTGACTTGGCCTGATAGATTCACCTGTAAAAACTGAAATGCTATGGGAACTGTTTAGTAGTTTCATTGTAAAGCATTCAATTCAATATTGCACATTTTTATTTACTGACAACAGCAGTATCATTTAATCAAAAATGCTTGTCCAATTGAAAACATGAAAGTAAAAAATGAGTGTAGGGCATGTATGTATGTATGACTATACAATATTTTACAGCATAATACAAAGCATGTTTTAAGCAACATTATGTATTTTTCTGGAGATTAAAACTTCATTTCCTGAATCTCTTGCTAGTAGTACTGAATAACATTTATGGATAATATTTTGGAACAGCAAACCAACAGTTTCAGCTCAACAGTTAAGTACTATTAAGATATACTTTATTGCCCATTTATTGCCCAAACCGCTTTGAGACTCAGATTTGCAGTGAAAAGGCGGTATATAAATAAAGATTACTTACTTACTTACTTAGGCATATTTGTCCTCTGCATTTGACCCATCCTTCAATGCTCTATTAGGACCCCTGTCAGGAGCAGTGGTGGCCATAGTACAGTATCCAGGACTACTAGCGCTGAAGGATTTACCTATTGTACATGTTTTTAGTGGCAGGGGAAACTGGAGCACCTGGAGGAAACTCAAGCAGACATGGGGAGAACATGAAAGTTCCACTCAGGAAGGTGCTGTTCTGTCTGGGATAAATAAAAAAAGTACTTCTTGCTGAAATGCCACTAAGCCACCCCACTCAGTGGGGCTTTAACAATAACAAAATTGTATTTTAGCTTTTAATGCCATCCAGTAGACAAGCCCTTGTAGACCAATAACAGAACGTTACACAAGTTACACAGCGCCCCGT